ATAGGTGTGACATCTTTGGAACCATGTAGTACAGGGTGGTTACTCAGGCAAGAGGGTTCCAAGTACCAAATGTCTGCAGACTTTAGTAAGACTGTTTGGACTATTTACACACATCTTCATTCTGTTCACTGAGGCTTGGGTACTTCAGCCCTTGGCTGGGTCATGGTTAGTGGACAGTAGTTTAGTGAAATCACAAGAATCAGTACTTCCTAAGCTAAGGCCTAGACTACTGCCTTTCTTACTTTGACACATTTGTTGGTTACACTCTACTAGGATTTCTAACTCCAGGCAGGATTTTCAACTGTAGAGGCACTGAAATTTTTACTGTTGATGTCAAATCAAATCATAAAGACAGCTTGAGCTTAGGTAGGGGGTGAACTCTGCCCTCCCCTCATTCAGATGTACCTTCAACTGTGACCTCATAAGCGACACTTCATTACTGATGTCCCCTGGAGCTAGCCTAGTAGAAGAGCAGGTGCCCCCCTCTATGGGAGCCAGGTGACTGCAGGGCTCCACTGGGAGGTGGCATCTGCAGGACGTGGGTGGAAGGACACCATTAGACACCTGTTGGTCCCTGCACCCAGAGGTGCTCAGTGTTACATCTAGGCTCCTAGACGTCTGTGCCCAACATTGTCCTCAGGTGGCTCTGCATTTTGTTCTTAGAAATGGCACGGGCTAGGGAAGAAGCAGGGGACAGCCAGCTGGTATCCAGTCGGGAGCCATTGCCACGCATCATCAGACTATCTGTCAAGACGCCACATGACTGCCAGGAATTTTTGCTAGCAGAAAATAGCAGTGTTCGCCACTTTAAGAAGCAGATCTCCAAACGCCTTCACTGTGACACTGACCGACTGGTGCTCATCTTCACTGGAAAGATCCTCCGGGATCAAGACATACTTGGCCAGCGTGGCATCCACGATGGTGCCACAGTTCACTTGGTGGTGCGGACACGTTTGAAAGGATTAGCCAGTCCTGCCCCTCTGCCAAGTGCCACTGACCATTGCACCCATCGTTCTGAGCCCTCTGCCTCTGAAATTGCTGGGATACTAGCTAGGCTGGGCCGGCTAGCCCGGACCTCACCTGAGCTCACCAACCTCTTTGGCCAACTGACACAACTCCTGATGACTGCACCGGAATCTGTCGTGCAGTTCTTGGAAGACCCTCTAATTCAAGGACTAGCAAGTGAGAAACAAGCCCTGGCCAGCCACATTCCTGAGCCCTCAAGGCCAGTGCAGAAACGTGACTCGGAGCTCAAGACTCTGGAAAGCTTGCAGAAGCCAGCCCGGCAACAGGAAGTTTTAGAAGCAAGCAAGCAGAGGCTGGAGGCCTTGAAGGCAGTGCCAGGTGGGGACAATGCTATGCGTCCGGTCTCCTCAGATGTGCAACAGCTCATGCTTTCCACTCTGGCCTTACTGATTGCATCCAAAGACTACATCTCAGGTTCAGAGTCTTGCAGAGGAGAAGCCAACGTGCACAGCAGTTCTGATACAACCATGACTATCCCCACCGCTTCTACGCCTGCCAGACCATTTGTACAAGAGGTCAGTGGGGGAGCTCTTACACAGGGCAGGGGTAAGACCTCAAATCAGGCCAGTTCTGGATGTAAGAATGGTATGCCGGTCTTATACTCAGGCCAAGATCTTCCCTCCCAGGATAGTCAGCAGCCTGGAGAGAAAGGCCCTTTGACCAACCAGCTGAGACCTTCACCTCTTTTGTGCCAAGCCTTGCATGTCCTCCAGCAGAATCCAACTCTGTTGCACCAGCTGAGCAGCAGTCCCCTGCGACACCACATACCATTACTTTCCATCCTGACCAATCCACGAGCACTGCAGGCACTGATACAGATCGAGCAAGGTCTACAGATCCTGTCCAGGGAGGTGCCTGGTCTGAGACCGTACTTACAGGACCCAACTAGACCACATGGATCCCAAAGAGTTCCAGAATCAAGGGGCGGAAGACAAGGGCACAGAGAAGACCCTGTGTACCCCACCCTGGCTATTCTTCAGCTTCTCCATGCACTGGCCAGTGCTTGTTCCCAATCTACCCAATCACCATTACTCTCATCCTTCCTCACAGAAAGTCGCTACCAGCAAGAACTGGAACAGCTGAAGGCACTGGGTTTTGTTAATCGCAATGCCAACCTGCAGGCCCTGATAGCCACAAATGGAGACATCCATGCTGCCATTGAGAGGCTGCTGGGGGAGCCACAGGCCTAGGTCTCCCCAGCAGATGCTCACAGTGCACCACCAGGAAGGGGAGGGGAGGAGAAGAAGTCACTTATTTTAGGGAATCCTCTTACTCAAATCATCGGTATGTTTGGATAGCCCCTCTCTCACTGCCTCAGCCTGTTACACATTAAAAGGATTGCTTGGATCTCATGTGTGAGATAAATTCAGTGGCTGGCAAATACAATGTTATATGCAAAAGGACTGATTGTGTTACATGATTTGGGAGCTTGCTTCATCTAATTCCTCTAACCTCAGAGTCTTCTTAAATTTTAAAAAATGAAATGGAAAAATTTGAGAGTCTATCTTCCTTTCTTCCTTTTTTCCTTCCTTCCTTCCTTCCTTCCTTCCTTCCTTCCTTCCTTCCTTCCTTCCTTCCTTTCTTTCTTTCTTTCTTTCTTTCTTTCTTTCTTTCTTTCTTTCTTTCTTTCTTTCTCTTTTTTCCTTCTTTCCTTCCCTTCCCCTCCCTCCCTCCCACCTCCCTCCTGTGTCTCCCCTTCCTCTCCTTCCTTTCTCCCATGAGAAGCAATGTTTCACCATCCTTTGTAGTTAAGAGTGGAGAGGCTTCCTCAAAACTTTCTCATCGCTCATCCTCCAGAATTTTTATATGGAATCTCACCAACTGACTCCTGGTTTCTGAAGATGCTTCCTTTATTGTACTTTTTTGTGTATTTATAATTCATTATTCCTCTTTCAGAGAATTTGATGGCTTTAGCAGCAGCTGCTTAACCTCTTCTGTGCCCAGGGTTCTTTAATGTCTTAGTCTAATACTTATATCCACTGGCCATTTCTGTGGAACTCATTTGCTCAGTATTTCTTTTTTTCTTTTTTTTTTTTTTTGCTCAGTATTTCTAAATGCATTTCAGAATTTTTCTCCTGGCTCATTTTTACTCTAAGTTATATGGTTCCTACAACTTAGTGAAAGTCATTAATAAAAAGTAATTTCTCCATCCACCCAGCCACTTCTACTGTAAACTTTTGGGCTTCTGGGCAGGTAGTACGTGCTTCAGAGTACAAATGTGGCTTAATAGTAGCATGAAGACCAAGGCAGGAAACAATCCAGTGGGAGGAGCACGAGTTCCATAAGAGGAAGTGATTGAACCTTCAGAGCCAGCCTTAGGAGTCCACCACATTTGGGATGGTGAGCAGCTGCAGCTCATGCTTCCTTGGGCCTGGGGAGGATGAAGGTCACCGAGGCAGACATTGCAACTCCATGGTGCTCCATGAACTTAGATACCCAGGTTGTGGAGGTTAGGGGCTGTGGATCAAATACCTCTGTGGTCTCAGGTCTCGGCAATGAGCCTGGTACAGCTTATTCTTTATTTATTGTATTTATTTATTTATTTTTTAATGCAGGGTCTCACTACGCATCTCGTACTTGTAGTGATTTCTGCCTCTGTAGTGCTGGAATTACAAGTTTTTCACTACTGTGCCCAGACTCCATTGCCAGTTCAGTGTGCCTGAGGGTGGGGCTGGCACAGCGTGAGGTGCCAGGAATTGAACCCTGGGTAAGGAAGCACTTAGTCTGCTGAGCTATATTGCAGCCCCTAACTTATTCTTTATTTTCCTCTATCATTCAGATGTTAGTCAGAATTTTTTAGATCACTTACCCATGTTTGATCCCAGGGAAGAGAGACAGTCCATGGAGCAGACTGAAGATGATAGATGGGGATGTATTCTGGGGTTGAAGAAGTGTATCCCTTCCTATCCCTTGAGTATGATGGAAGGCATTATTTGTGGGTTTTATTTTGTTTGACCTTACTGGTGATTGAACCCATGGGCTTCTCTCTGAGCTACATCTTCAGGTCTCCTCCTTTAAATTATTAAAATTTTGAGACAGAGTGTCACCAAGTTGCTACATTGCCCAGGCTACAGGCAAATGTGTGAATCTTCTTTCTCAGACTCCACAGAGCTTTACTAATCTACTAGACAGTTTTCACTCAAGTTGATACAATCAACAAACAGACTTTGGCTGACACCAAAAAAACACAGAGAAGAACCTCCCTGTGTTATATCTGTAGGTGTCAGCACAGGGTTCAGGCTGTATGCAGACCCCCGAGGACATTAAATACTGTGCGGCCACTGCATTCTTTATTATCTCTCTACCCAGATGAGGAGAGGTGAAGAGCTGCTGGTGAAGCCAGAACTGCAGAGCAGAGCTGAGGTCTATATTAAAACAGTCCATCAGTCAGGATCACAGCTGGAGTAGGATCTAGGAAAAGGAGAAGGAAGTTGAGAAGAATGAGTGGGCTGAATCCCACAATACCCACGTGTATATGCATCAACCCCTATTACTGCACACTGTAATAAAAGATCACTGAGACATACAGTAGTATCCTAAGTTAGAGAAGAACTTGGATAATGTGGCAGATGTAATATTGGCCCCCTAGAAGTTATTATAGTTAGAACAAAAGAAGGCAAGAGATAGGAAAAGGAATATTGTGGGACTGTCCTGCTTCAAGGTTGTATACGGTTAGATTTTTGGACTTATGTGTAAACATAAGAAGTATATAATTCTTTATGCCTATTTTAAAAAATATATTCTAATTTTTAAATGTTTTTTCATCATATTCTATAGGGACTTAAAGTTCAACATATCAATACTTGATGAAAAATACCTGTTCCATGTTATGCCTAAGATGTTTGATATTCAGACAGATAGTGAGGTTAAGCTTAACAGCCTAGGTTGTATGGTAATAACAATAAGCTTGTTTTCTAGATGGCTAGCAACCTAAGTTTGCAGACCAAAATTAGAGAAAAGGGAGGGCTGCAATGAAAGCCAACATTTTGACCCTAGCCTTCCAAGGTCACTTAAGAATTAGGACATATGCGAACTTGTACTGTAATGTCATGTAATTAGGTAGTGTCCCAAATTTTCTGATCAAGGAGATTATGAGGCCAAAGAAGAAAGTGATTGATGATGTAGAGTGTGCCTAAGGAGAGTCACATGGGGAGAAGACACTCTCTCAGGCTTTCACAGAGAGCACATTGGCCAAGCAATGGCCGTGACTCATCCACATGGCTGACACTGACAAAGGCTCTACAATCTGAGGTACGTGATCTCAGGATAAATCCTGAGGGGATTTCACTAACCTTATCAGACCCAAAAGCTACAACTCTTGTTGCATAGATCCTGCTTTACCTTGGTCTTAACCATCCAGTAGAAAAGTATAAAAACAAAGTATAAGAAGTAAAGCCATGATATTTTGTTGAGCTGTAGGGGACTCAGGTCAACAATTTCTGACATTGCCAGTGAAGCAGAAGACCCAATACTATTATGGACTACTGAACTCTTTTAGAATATTTTGCTGAGTTAACACACCTATAATATTCAAATAACGGAACTTAACAAAAAAGGTGATACAGATGAATGTCCATTTTGTATCTGTGTATTCAGAGTGGTTAGGATAGATATATAGTTACATTCTCTTCATGAGTAGAGGGATTTATTCTAATGGTGTTTGTAAATAGCATATCAAGTCTGCATCTTGCACAGCAGTTAACCACTAGGAAGAATGTATACAATGTGCTAATTATTGAAACTGTCCAATCAGTTTGGTTTGAAACTGTCTCATTGCTATTTGTTTCTCAATAAAATTATGGAAAAAAAGAACAAAACTGTGATAGCCATAGCCATAAATTATTAATATTAAAAGTAGGGGCATAGTAATTAAACTATCAAAAGCTGAATCAGTTCACAGCTGTATCATTGTCCGTATGACTAATGTGGCAAACTGCCCTTTGAAAAGCCCTTTTTTATTATTACTATTATTGAGAAACAAATAGCATTGAGACAATTTCAAAACCAATTAGTAGGACAGTTTCAATAATCAACACATTGCATATCATTGTCTTCATAGTGGTTATTCATAGTATAATATGCAGACATGATATCCTGTTCAAACACTATTAGTACAAATCTTTCTTCTCATTGAATTAAGAGAAAGTAGTTGCATATCTATCTGAACTATTTTGTATATACAGATACAAAATGATCCTTCATTTGTATCTCCTTTTTTGTTTCATTTTGTCAGAGATTGGTATTCCATTGCCATTTAAATATTGTAGGTGTGTGAATTCAGCAGAATAATCCAATATAGCCCAGTAGTACATAATAGTAGTGGGTTATCTGTAGGACTGGCAATGTCAGAAGTTGTTGACTTGAGCCTTTTACAGCGCTGCATATTAACATGGCTTTACTTTTTATACCTCTTTTTTATACTTTTCTGCTGGATGGTTAAGACCAAGATAAAGAAAGAACTGTATAACAAGAAATGTAACTTTTATATTTGACAAGGTCAGTCAAATCCCCTCAGGATTTAGCCTGAAACCGTGTACCGCAGTTTGTAGATCCTTTGTCAGTGTCAACCGTGTAGATGAGGCACAGCTGTTGCTTGACCAATTTGCTCTCTGTGAAAGCCTGAAAGAATGTTTTGTCTCCATGTGAATCTCCTTAGGTGCACTCTACTTCGTTGATCACTTTGCTTTGTGGCCCCATAATCTTCTTGATCAGAAAATTTGGGACACAACTGAGTTATAGGATGTTACAGTACAGGTTCTCTTATGTCCTGAGTCCTCACTGACCTTGAAAGGCTAGGGCCATAATGTTGACTGTCCTTGCAGCTCTTCTTTTTCTCTAGTTTTGGTCTGCAAACTTAAGTTGTTAACCCTCTAGAAGAGAAGATTAATTATAACATAGGCAGTTGAACTTAACCTTACACTGTGTTAATATCAAACATCTTAAACATAACATGGAACAGGTATTTTCCATCAAGGTTTTTTTTTTTTTTTTT